TTCGAGGGTGCTGTCTTTCCGACTGCTCACTTCCGGTGTCGTGTGAACTTTCAATACATACTTCTTCGCTTGCATCGTCAACGTCACTATCACTAAAATATTCACAGAAGATGTGGAAATAGAATCACAAGCTGTACAAGAAAAGAGTTTAATCCAAGTTTCACAAGATACAGAAAAAATGAATCAAGAAAAAGAGGACAATGTCAATATGGCAGCTTTGATGTCATTAATCATGCAGATGAACAAGACCATGGAAGAGAATACGAAAAAAATTGAACAGAAATTGGAAGAGAATTCAAAAGAAGTCAAAGAAGACATGAGAAAAATGAAACAGAAATTGAAAGAGAATTTAAAAGAAGTCAAAGAAGACATGAAAAAAATGGAACAGAAATTGGAAGAGAATTCAAAAAAATTGAAGAGATTTCGAAAAAAATGGAAGAAAATTATAAAAAATTAGAAAAGAAAATAGAAGATAATAATAATAAAATTGTAAAACAAATAGATAAAAAACTTAAAGCTGCAAAAAAAAGGGCTAATGAAATAAAAAATATACGGCATCACTACAAGAAAATGATAGAAAATGAGAGAACAGAAGTAAATAGAATTACTCAAGATAATAAGATAGATATAGAACAGAAAATAGAGTTGCAGAAATATAACTTAGCAGTTAAAATTAACGAAAACCGGAAAAAGACAGAAGAAAAATTAGACGATATGCAACAAAATATCCAAATAAATAGTAATCAAATGAGAAATGTGGAACAGATAATAAATGATATTTCACAAATGAGAGACATAGGGAGACCTTACTTAAATTTAACAAATGACACTGGGATTAAATTCTTTGGTAATATAAAAAATTTGCATTCTAGAGTATACATAAATAGTTTAAAACATAAATTAAGATTAGTGACAATGCGGCAACTTGGTTTGCCAGTGTTAAAAATAATTTGTATAATTTTCAAACATTTAAAAATTAATTTTTAAATTATTATTGCGGTAAATTAGAGCAAGCTAGATTAAGGGAAGTTCTATATTTTGGAAAGTATAATCACAATTTAAGATCAAATATGGTAGATTATGCATTAAAACTAATAAAGGTTGCAAAATATTTAGAACCACCACTTAGAGAGGATGAAACAGTCTTATATATATCTGGACATTTTGATGCCGATGTTGTGCAAACAGTATCTGTACAAAATATTCAAACAATAGATAGTTTTATTAATTTTATTCAAAGAATACAAAGAGGTAACATAACAAGCCATAATGATAACAATGATATTAGGATGAATAATAATCAACAATATAGAATAAAATAGAATAGAATATTCTTTATTAATCCCATCAGATCACATTGTGATATAGGACAAGTCATATAGTACATAGAGCATGATCAACAAGTTATATAGGACAATTACATAAAAAAAAACCAATAAAATATAGATTAATATAAAAATAAAAAACAAAGATATGCAATATAGAGCGACTCTGAACCCGTCGGTCCTTATTCTCTGTAGTCTTTTATTAAGTCAAAATATTCATTTAGGTTGTAAACGCATAATTGGATCAAGCATGCTTTTAATTTATTTTTGAATTTTTGAATATTGTTTTCATTTCTTATATTAAGTGGCAAACAATTATAAAATTTAGATCCTGCAAAATCAGGACTAGTTTCAAAGAGAGTTGTGATAGACAATCATATAATAATATTAGATATGGTAAAGTAAAATTAAAGTTCGTGTAACCTTCTGGCTAAGGTCTAGTGTTAGAGTTTTAAGGTCGCGCAAGTGCCCCTAACATGACCTAACGACTACTTTCGTAGTCGGGACCGACGGCTTAACGTGCCCTTCGAAGCACGGTGGCAGCTCAGTTAAATTAGAAATTTTTAAATTTTTGTCGGTGCCGGGATATAAATAGATATGGTAATAATATGCAAAATTTTAATAACAATAATAATAATCAAAATAGACAAAATTTTAATAACAATACTAGTTACAATAGACAAAATGTTAATAACAATACTAATTATAATAGACAAGATTTTAACAATAGGAGAAATACAGAACGACCTAATTACAACAAACAGGTAAATTATGTTCGAAGGAATAGAAGCTGCAAAGATAGTGAACGAAATAGTACAAGGCAAGAAAATATGAGTAGAAGTCATAGTAGTGACAGAAACAGGACATTAGATCCAAATGGTCAGACACAATCTTACAATTCTATCAATCCAAATTTTGTGCAGTAAACTTTCTGAATTAAAAGTTTTTCTCACTCTAAAAGGAGATATAAATCTCGAAGAGATTAAAAAGAACCGTTCAGCATGCATTTCTCTTAGTCTAAAACTAATCGGATACCACTGGACCAATGGCAGCAGACTGGATATCATAACTTATGTTTCCAGAAAAAACTAGTGTACGGCTAAGAAAGAAGTGGTAAGTCAAAACAAAATCAAGTGGACAATAATAATAATTAATAATTTGAGCCATATAAATTACCGGGTCCAGATGGGATTTGTCCAATACTTCTAGAAGAGAGAAATGACCTTCTGTACAAAAAATAATGAATGACACTACAGTCCAGTTTAGGACTCGAGTATTGGTTAAAAGGATAGTATGCGTAGTGAGCAGTACTCTCTATGGAAATAGCTCTAAACTATCTCGTAAAGAAGGTGGAATGCATCCTGGAAAATCAGAAGCAGATACAGAGAAGAGAAGAGAAGAGAGCAATAACCACGTTGATGGTATCCAGATGCACCCATAGAAAATGGTTTTAAAACCAGATATATTATATTGGAATTTTATTGTGGTTTTAAAACCAATAACTATATGTACCTAACAATAACATAATGGCCAAATATGAACTAAAAAGAGTGACACCTTCAAATTAGAACTAGCTTTTACTAGCAAAATGGAAAGACTTGCTTGTTTTCAATCACAATTGCTATGAGAGGCATACCAATAGCAGTTTGTTATGAAAGCCATACTGAATCTAAATCCTCTACATATTGTTATAAAAAGTAAGGCGAAAATGGAATGATATAAACTGCGAGACAACCTGCGCAACTTAACATGATATACTAACGTACTAAAGAACATTAGGGATATCGAATTGATAATGATTTCTGATCATATGGTACCCAGACAGATGCTTAAAGTATCTTTTTAAGTCGATATTCAGCCTTGAAGAGGATGGAGCCCAATACACACTTGACTCAGACTCCTAAGTTGTACTTGGCATATAGGCGAGACTTAAATTGCAGAAGGGTTGTGTGTAGGAATATTGGTGGTGGAAATTTAAACATTAATTTTCTACTAGTAGAATATATCTCTTTATTTTTGATAGAGAAAGAGCTTTTGAACTAAAGCGGCTCAATTAATGCACAGAGAGCCAAGCAGCCATGGCTGCTCTTAAAGGTTCTAAGGTAGACTCTATGTTAGAGTAGGAACGTCCAGAGAAACTCGATTGCGGAACGCAAGCAGGAATTAGTTTAGAGTTATAACAGTCTTCCTTACTGGACATGCGTTAGTCAAGGGACATCTGATTATAATAGAACTGTTTTATAAAGGTTTAAACTGCATATTTCAGGTCTTACATTGCAGGTGGCAAAAATTATTCAAAGACTATCAAATCATTTCAAAATATATGGTATCTATTTTTAAGACCAGCAAAAACTGGAACAAAGTTCTAGATACCTATGCCTATTTTGAGTATTTTTAATTGTTCCTAAAAACGTTACATCTCTGTGAAATTTATATAATCGTGAAACAGTCCTATAAAAATATTTATCATCTTTATGATTATAATATCTCAATCATAACAATCATTTCAAATACGATTTATCATAAACTAACTAAAATTGAACTATACAAAAGTATTTATATAGAATTTCAAAAGGCAGTGCATTCTAAATACTTGCCATATTTTTTCGTTCTACTCCCCCTGTATATTCAGTAGTGCCCTTATAGGTATGTCTCCTTCTTTCTGCCTTGATTTTTAACCTAAAACTAGACATTTTTAACATAACTCTTGACCTATTTGATATTTCGAATATAGGCCTCTCCTAACACTTTTAATATTATCGTTCTAACACATATCGTACCTAACACATTCGAAGATATAATAGTTAATAAATCTTTTGGTTCAAAATTTCTGAGGTAATTGTTTTGATTTTTCAGTACATAAGAAATCTTTTCAAAGACAACAAACACATCACATTCTTACTTCTCTACCAATTTCCATTGTCTGATTTTTATTCACATTTTTCAAGATGGTTCCTATTTTATACCTTGAGTTTTTTCGGCCGTTGACCCATGCTTTCTCGATGGCTCATACTTCCACATTGTCAAAGGCTTTTTCATAATCAATTTACCGCTAAACAAAGAAAAATAAAATACATACTTGTTTACGCTGTACCTCTTTTCTATATCCAGCCTATATATAAATACTGGGGGATATTGATGAAAAATAACTCGGTAATTGTTAAGTGTCAATCTTTTTGTAAATTAAGATGTTATTAGTAGCGTTCCACTATTGAGGCATATTCATCACATTTTTTCATCACTTTCAGACACTTTATTCCTTTTTATTTCTTTGACAGCATCTTCTCTCTTTCTCTCACTTATTTTGGACATTACTTCTGAGTTGACATTTGTTATGATTCTTTTTATATTCTGTTTCGAAGAAGCAGTTAAATCATTTATTATGCTATAAAGGTCGCTGTAGAATGTTTCGATTAATTTTTTTATTTAGGTTTTTCTATTTTTAAGTTGCGCTTAAGCATATAATCACATTGACAATATAGCACTTTTACGTATATAATGGTTTGTGTTAAATGAGGGATCAACAGATAGAAATAATGATATTTACTAATAATAGATTTGGCGATATTCATCGCATGATAATTTGCATACCTACCTTGGCCCTTAAATTGTTCTATCATTTATATTAATTCAGAAAGTTATTATGAGTAAATTACATGATAAATAAATACTAACTTGCATTCTCTATTTTCGGTAATGATCTGGTCAACATATATACTTTCAGTGTGGACGGGAATAGGTTGCCATTCTAGTTGTTCATTCCACAACTGATATCCTTTGGGAGGATAAAGACCGGCTAGAAGTGTGGTTATTGACATTAAACAGCGATCAATATTGGAAGAATGGATGTAAATCTCATCTTTAGAATAGGTTTCACTAAGGAAATTTTTGTATCTTTGACGGTACCATTGGCCAAGCCCGTACATCCGTTTGATTCCCTTCTGCATAACAAAAAATTTGTTATTAGTAAAAACAGATACTAGTAGTGTTCAGTAAATAAATTTAACACTAGTTATTATTCGTTTGGAATGTTGGAAACACGTGGCGTTAAATTTTTTTATTAAAATATTATTTTGAGCGTTATTTGAGAATTTAAATATTTTTAACCACATTTCAAAGAAACTTGTACAAGTTCAACCAGAGACATTTAATACAAGATAGACTGACTGCTGTAATACAGTCGCGTTCCTCCAGTGCAACAGAGAAAACTTACGTAAAGCAGTCCCTGCATCTGTGTCTAATGGACCGGGTTTATCGTCACGTGACCTTTTTATTCGTCAACACTTTGCATAATTGAAAAGGGTTACAAAAGTTACTTATTATAGCCACAGTTTTATCATGATAGTCAGAAAATATAAAAATTATTAGAGAAAAAATTTAGAGAATAATATTTTCTTAGAAATTTTATATATATTACCCTATATTATAAATATATTTATTGTTTTTTAGATATTTTTATTTTTATATTCAAGAAGTATCACGTAAGTAGGTATTCACACTTTTAACAAATTTGAGTTGACCGTGATGGAGTGACAGTTTCTAGTATTGTTTATTAATTTAGTATTCTGGTAAATCCCAAATTAGAAACCATTATTGTTTAATAATAATGCAATAATAAATTCACCTAATTATAATTTACTTTGCTAATAATGAAAAGGTAGATATCAGTGGCCGCTCGTGGCTTGGGAGACAAGATCGGCAAGGTATATTTTGTCTCCTCAGATAGGTATACCGTCTAAAAAGAACCTTAATTATCATATGAGTTTTTTTTGTTTTTTTTCTTGTTTTTTTTTTTTTGTTTTTTCCTATAAATTTAGAACCTCTAAACATGTTTATAAATTAACTCCAGTCTACGTTGTTTGAAAGTAGCAAAATGGATTATAACGTCATCGTAAAATTTATTAGAGTTTTGGAGAGGTTTTAAAAGTTTTCTATTGACATTAAGACAAGCTTGACATTTCCTCTTGTTTCATGGTGTTTCGACAATACGTTTTGATTCTTTTGAGACAAGAGAAATCTCGTTATTTGAGGCAGACGTTGGTGGTAATGAGAGAATTCATGACAATAATTTATTAATTTCGGTAATCGTTTGTTGTGATGAATTGCAGTATATAAAATTATACATATCTTTTAACTAATCCCACCTTCCAAAAAAAACTTTTGGATCAGCATATAAAACTTTTAATTCATTTTCTAATTTTATTTTATTAAAGAATGATGGATATTTTTTAATTAACCTGTCTAATAAATATTGGAAATTCTTTGGTGTAACTTTTAAATTTTGAATCGTCAAAGAGGTCAAAAATTTGCAAATCTTCAAAATTCGAAAAACGAGTATCTATTTGCATAATAATAGTATCCAAAATTTCAAAATATATTTTTTTTTCAAAATCTGTTTCTGTGTTATGCCTTTGCCTTTTTTTGGGAGATTTTACGAAAATTTTTGTTATTCTATTTTTGGAATGAATAATATCAGTTAATTTATTTCGAACAATATTGAATATCAAATTGGTTTGGGTAAAAACTTTCTTAAAAATATTTAAACGTATGTTAAATGAGTAATCATTTAATAAAATTTTCATCACTTTCCAAATCGTCGTATTCAATAATAAAATCAAAAACTTCCAAAAGCTGTTCACGAAATCTGCTACAGTGAAAATTCCATTGCGTCTGATAAACTGTTGGCATTTTTTTCGAAACAAACCGTTCTAAAACATTAGTTCGTTTAGGCAAGCTTGTGAAAAATGAAGCAACTTTGCTTAAACTGGCAAAAAAAAGAGACGACATTCTTTAATTTTTTTACATGTATCATGCAAAACTATGCAAAACTATATTTATTCTATGAGGATGATGTGAATGACATGATATGGCGGTATGTTCATCTACTTCTAGTGAAAAGCAAATGGTTTGCTGAATCTCAGATTCAATAACGTTACTCAAAATGTAACTAATTGATTCTATTAGTTCATTCTGGATTGTTTTAGATACACCGCTAAATGTCTTCGAATCAGAAAGTAAATTGAAAATTCCAAATTTTATTTCTTAAACATTTTTATTAGTTCTCTATAATTGCCTTGATTTAACGAATACTCCGATTCATCGTATTCCCTAAATGACAACTTAGAAAAATTACAATATCAATTAAACGACGTAAAACTGCGTGATAATTTTGTACAGTTTCGTTAGGTTTCATCATATTTTCACGTTGGACATTATCTAATGAAACTTTTATTTAATCTGGCTGTATCTATGATCTTTAGAAATATCATGTTTATGTAAAGCCCTAAATTATTCCTTTAAATTATCGTAACCAGATTCACACCACGGATTTTGATATGTGCTCCTATATCTCGAAAATAAAATGCAAGGCCAACAGAAAATTTTGTTTTTTATTTCACTCCCGGTAAGCCATGAGTACTTGCTGTACCAATTATCTGAAAATGATCTATTACTTCCCTTGCCCCCGCACTAATATTTATAAGCCGGGACATTTTAGGCAAAGGACCCCTTATTTTTAATAACAATTTGTTCTTCGTATGGAATAGACAAAAACCCATTTTGCAAAATAGAATTTACAATATTAGATTTATCAATACTTACAGTTTCTCTCATAGCTTACATTTTTTAGGTTAATTTACCTGAATTTGTTTACACTTTAATTAAAAAAAAACTTTTAATATATCAAAAAACCCTTTAACCTTTAGGTATTTAATGCAGACGTAACGTATCACAGTATTACTTTAGAAAATAAAAATAAATCACATAAAGAAAAGCTAGTTCGTGCACTCAATATCACTTTACCTCACTACTTAAGTTCTTAAGTACTTATCCATCACGAAATAACATTTCATCCCGAGCTCGCAAGGTACAGTTTGCGACCAATCATCACTCCAAATAAAGCATCGTCAAATTTAAATTTGTGGTAGTTGGTAATTAAATTCATATCGACGGTAAAAAGGTAAAAGTTTGGAACCCACAATTTGCCTAAAACGGGTTAAAACATCAAATAAACTTCTTGTTGATTTTTCTTTAACTGCAAAAATATTGTAACCAAAATATGGCTGCAATAACTTGTAATTTAGGGTTTTTATTTATTGTAAGTCACATGAGTTGTAGACTGTGACAAGTAAACGGTTGTAAGTGCGATACAATATTTTATCAGTCGAGTCTGTATGTCATGCGTCTCGGAAATATGATAGTCCCGTGTAGGTTACAACAATTTTAGTTGTTTACATTCTGTGGGTTGTGTGTGTAGAATATTTTGCTAAAACTGTTTTTAATTCTATATTTAATTTATTAATTATTATTTTAACATTTAAAGTGGTTAATAATGATAATTTGGAACTTAAGAGGAGAGAGAATTATTGCATTATCTAAATCTACCAATTCTCAAAATAATAAAGGAGGTTAACACACATGAAGTTAATACATCAAATAATTTACTCTGTAAGAATATTGCTGAAGTTGTTTTTGTTAATGAAGAGAGTGAAGACCTTATTTTCAATAATGCTATTGACGAAGTTCTACTTATGAATGACTAATAAGAATTATTAAATTTTATCGATTTTGAAGATATTGACTTTGATAGTAACACAATTAAAATTAAAAACGATAGCGTATTAGATCAGTTAATTGACGATACCAATTGTAATGATAACGGACTTTTGTTGAACGCAGAAGCGGATATCAAGATCCAGGTAGAAAATATACAAAATGATGTAGAAATAGAGACTGAAAATGATGCAGAAGAAGATATGGAGATCTAGTTAGAAAATGTACAAAATGATGTGTAGAACTAGAGACTGAAAATGAAAAAAATCTTATAAATATAAATAGGGAAAAATATTAAAAAACATAAAGCTGAATTGCGAAAAGCAATAAAAAAAGGAGAAGCGTATATGAGTAACAGTAAGACTAAAAAACCAATGAGCCAAAATAACCCGTGCACAGAAAATTGCCCAAACTATTGTAAGTTATACTTTGATGAAAAAAGAAGAGCAACACATTTTAAGAATTACTGGTCTCTTAGTAATAAAGGTAAGAGATATTTTATACTATCTTGTTTGACTGAATCGCCAAAAGCTAGAACTTACTTTAAGGGACCAAGTCGAAGGGGCCGTATTTTCAAATATTATCTACCACTTGACAAAGAAAAGGTAAAAGTTTGTCTTTACTTTCTTTTAAAAACTTTGGACGTGTCTCATAGAATTTTGTCGTATACATTTAAAAATAAATCTTATATAAAAACTCCCAAATCAGATATGAGAGGAAAAAGGCTCCCCCCAATAAAACTAAAAATAATAATTAGTTAAAGGTTAAAATTTCCATTGAATCATTACCAAAAAATCTAATATTAGTAGAATCTATAAAAAAGGTTTTTGTCAGCAAGAAGGGATAACACCTGTGACAGATGGAGTGTTTCGAAGAATTTTTAATGACTACAATATTGGAATCATATTCCCAAAAAATATAAGTGTGCAATATGTGATAGAAGCAAGGAGAGTGATATCCAATCAGAAAGTTTTGCATCTCATATACATGAAAAACATTGTCGCTGGCACTGTTCAAAGCACATCAAAAAAGATCTCAAACAGATTCAAACTTTTTATGCGTTTCCTTTGACCTTCAAAAAGTTCTGAATACTCCTCATGGTGACAATATGTGACAAAAGTGGGACACATTATGGATTATGTGATTTATGGGTCGAATCTGATGGCAAGAGGGGATCTAATGATATATGCTCCAAGGTATTTAATTCTCTGAAAGATTTAAAGATCCGAAGTCCTGAGGTGAAGATAATATCGTTCTTTTGTGACAGTTGCCCTAGACAAAATAAAAATCGCCAAATGCTGGTAATGCTATACTATTTTGTCAAGGGATCTAAACCGTAGATGAAGTAAATTTTACCTATTTGCTTTCAGGACACACCTACAGAGCAGCA